CCACTGATTATAAAGATAAACTACCTATTTTACTCGCAGTCGACGCATCCAGATTGGGTATTGGTGCGGTGTTATCCCATTGTTTCGCTAATGGTTCGGGAAAACCAATCGCGTACGCATCAAATACACTTAACAGCAGTCAAACAAATTATTCGCAGATAGAAAAAGAGGCATTGGCTATAATATACGGCATGACCAAATTTCACCAGTATCTCTACGGAAGACAGTTCGAGCTGGTCACAGATCATCAAGCGCTTACCGCGTTGTTTCACCCGTCTAAAAGGTTACCGGTGATGGCATTACACCTTGTACAATGTTGGGCTATTACACTTCAGGCATAATGTCATCCCAAAACGCGAATGCTGATGCGCTCCCACGTATGCCACCGGGTGAAGATCCTGCTTTTCACGAGGAGGAGAACAGCTTGTTTAGGATTGATGTAAAAGACCAAGCCGGGGTAATCCAATTTTCAATAAATGAACAACTTATTAAACAAAAACCAGAAGCCGATGAAAATATGTATTTTAGGGCTGGCCTCAACGTTCGCTTGAGACAAATCTTGAGCCGTATTTTAATCGAAACCTTTATTTATCAATACAGAATGGGGTGTTATTGCTACATACCGAATACATAAGAGTAATAATACCTAAAAAAACTTCAAAGCAGGGTATTGACGATGCTCCATGATGGACTACGTCTGGTTTCCCGGTATCGAACAAAATTTTTTTGGAATATACGACAACTGCTCCATCTGTCAAGCGACTGCTGCACTTCCAAAGTGCGATTTTTTCTCCTTGGCCGGAAGCCACACATCCATGGGAGCGAATACATTTGACTTCGCGGGCCATTTTATAATCATATGTGGTTGATTATTGTAGATTCCTATTTAGAGTTTCCGAATGTTGTTGAGTTATATGCAGCTACTACACCAACGACAATAGCAGCACTCCAGCGAATCATATCCGTCGAAGGGCTTCCGTGCACCATTGTAACATATAATGTAACGCAATTTACCTCCCAAGACTTTCAACAGTTTTGCAAACGAAATTCTATTCAACACCTAACAACTGCACCATTTCATCTTGCCTCCAACGGGTTAGCAGAAAGGTTCGTACGGAGTTTTAAAGAAGCTTTTACGAAAATTATAAAGACAGAGCACCACACCGAGCGTGCTTTGTACAAATATTTTGCCACGTACCGAACCACACCTAACCCCGTACTCGGTCAATAACCGGCAGAGCTACTTCATGGGCGTCAACCTCGAACGATCCTCGCTGCAATGTTCCCATAGCCTGTTCAACATCCAAAATCTGGAAGTAAATTTTTTATCGGCGCGAAAATTTGGGCGCGAAACTATGCAGGGCTTGAAGGCCAAATACAGCAAACGTTGGGCAAGTAGATATATCGGGTACAGACCGATAGAGGATTATGGAGGTGTTACCAAACTCAACTACTGATAGTCTAAGAGCCAGTGAACAGCATACTTCATGTAATTTACTAAAGCTCAAATTTTGTTCAGTCGAGCCTTAATACCTTCTCTACTTGGAAGGGCCACTAACTAAGCCCGGCAGCGGTCCATACGGCGTCACGCAGGTCGCAAAGGTAGAAAATTCAGACCAATTTCGAAAGTACTTTAATAAGTCTGACATTTAAGTATTTTGACATTCAATGTTATTATTACTCGAAAATAATAATGGCAGATAATTTTGGGGGTTTTGAAATCATAGCAGACACTTTTGGATATGTTAAAAAAATAAAAAATTCAAAAGTATTTTAACAAAAGAGAAATTTTAATATTTTACTTATTATAGTATTAGACGCCTGTATTTATCAGGTAAGACATTCTGTCCGGCAATTACATCCCGGCAGACAGCGATACCTAACCTATAGCCCGAGCACACGTACACAATAGGGGTATTCTCCAAATCTTGCAAAGCCATTGCACGTAGCACGGATTGCATAAATTGCAAACACACAACAAGAAAATTCATGGGAAACAACATTTCCTATCGCTGCAAAATATGCAACGTCGAAACCCATGTATATATTTTGCAAAATAGCATAGCAAGATAATAGCGACCCTGTGCTAGTTGTTTTGTTGTTGGAATTGCTACATATTTCTCTCATTCCTCTCATCTCGCTCACTTAATTTTTTTTTGCTGTCTCTTGTTATTGTATTTGATACATAATTTCGCTGCTTGCTCCCCATGCATGCTACCACTTTGCAATGGGGTGTTCTCGTACTCTTCGAAATTTGGAATAGTATTTTTGCATTTCGTGCAATCCGTGCATCGTGCAAGACTTCGAGAATACCCCTAATGTATAATGTACACTATGTCACCATACTTTTTGCTATCAAAAGTCGACCTACCTAATGTACCAAAGCAAGTGCACTTACCAGTGCCCAACAACAACAATACACAAGGGCCAACCAAATAAACATATATACGCACAAAAAGGAAGTGTCAAAAAAATTGCAACCGGCTGACTCAGTGGAGACGGCGGGATTGCTTGAGGGGGAACAACAGGGCAATATACAAAATACTTAGGGCAACTGGAATTTGGATAACAACATTGTATGAGGGAACGGCACCAACTATTAACAAGTAGCAAACTACCTACAAATATGACTATTAGGGTGAGCCCAAAAACTATGGAACAAATCACTCAATATTCAAAGGCAACCAAAAGTACTATATGACAAAACAAACTGTAATAAAGAGTCAAAAACGCCAATAACAAAACCTTGTTTGTTGGTGCACCGGAGGTGAGGTCCAACCAAAAGATTACGAACCCACTCGCAATACCACCCAATCTGCCGGGGGTAACTTTAACCCACCAAGTGACTGGGCTATGGGTGCGGGATGCCAAAATTTGTTTCTATAGACTGGTTCACCTATTTCTTACCTCGAGTATGGACGCGAACTACAATTTGGTAGCACAATTCAATGTCTTACTACAGCAAGTAAATCTAACGCACTTGTGGGAGTGTCTAAATGCAGAAACGTGGAAAAATTCAAAAACGCTGGTGTTTGAACGTTTTGACAGACATCTAAAATTTCAGGACATTCTCGCATGCTCACAGTCGTCTTCAATGTCGTTTAAAATACTAAGATCCCTCGAAGATAAGCGGCATGCTACCTATTTACAAAAAGCCAATTCCATAATTCCAGAGTTTTCGCACAGCTCCGGTTATCAACGAAACATTCGCTGCGCTTTTGCATTGGCGGCCAAATTTATAGATTTAATCAAAATAATTATTGTACTATATGCAACCTAAACAAGCTAGAGTCTTTGCAACATTTTCTGTTTGAATGTCCCATATATTCGGATTATCGTGAGCATTACTTAAATCACCTGATTGTAAATGGTACACCATCAAATTTCTTATGCGACCTCACAGATAACCGTTCAATTAAATTACTTTATTATTATATAGCTAATAGCTTAAAATTGAAATCATTTATAATTAATGAGTCATTTGTTTTACCTCTTAGAAGTTAATCCATAAAACACTTTAAATTGTAATTTCGAATGTAAACGTAGAGAAATATCTTAGGAGCCCTCCTGCTCCAAGAGCCCTAGGCTCTTTTAAGCAGTAATAAAATTTAATTGAATTGAATTGAAAAAGGAAAGGATAGGGAATACAATAGGGGAAAACTACCGACAACTCTACTAGCCAAATACAGGCAAAAACACAGAGGATACTTATGCTGTGGTCGGGGTGTACGTCGACTACTGGGTGCTCCTGCAGGGCTACGCCGCCCAAATCCGATACCAACACTGCCAACTACTTTATCTAGCGCCTCGACTGGCTTCTTATTTTGCCTGCTCGCCCGCAGTCTAAGTGTCTCTACTGGCACTTACGCAAAATCACCAAAAAAAAAACCACTGTACCGCGTCTAGTACTAAATAACTATATATGTAAATTAAACACTTCAGAATAAACAAATTCGCATACAATAGGGATGTTTCCCTGATCCATGCTCACTTGGTTCTGCCCCGGCGCGCAGCTACAAGTTGGGCCGCAACCTACGCGCCTGTCCGCAAAACCATCGGGCCTCAGTGCTGGTTTTGTTGTTGCCCGATCAATTGGCGCCGGCCCGTTAATTCTTAAAACGAATTGGGCGCTTTTGCGGTCGCCACCACGCACACAAACAACCACCATCGACGTTGCCATTTCCATCATTCGGCGGACAACAAAAGTGCCGCGATAAGAGAAAAAGACCCTACTGTGGGTTTTCGCGTCATCTGTTCCTATCCTGTTACTATTGGTCGGTATCGTTTTGGTGCGAACACCCCTAATGGAGACTGGAGCTGTTTTGCTTTTCAACCTGAGCTTTAATTTACTCAACTAGTTGCCGGTAGTTTTCGCTCCTCTCGGTTGGAGTGAAAGGAAATAAGGGTAAGACGAAGGAATATATATAAGAAGCTTTGTTGCGGCCAGTACGCGACAACTAGACAGCTACGATAGAAAAAACTTTGCAACTTTTAAAACTTATTTAAAAGGATTTTACGGTCATAAAAATTTTCGGCCTTGGCGAGTCCTAAAAACACCCGAAATGCCTTACTCTTCATAAAATATTCATAGGTGTGTACTCGTATTGAGAGGACAAAATTCTCCAGCAGCAAAAGTTCTGAGAATTTAGCAGCATTCGTTCTCAAAAAGAAGAAATATCAACAGAAGTACGAGAACGCAAAATTTGCAAAAACTTGCAACCTTCGAAACAGCTGATTAATGCACAGTTGCCACTGGTGATTAATTTGGCAATTTATTTTCTGCTTGGTACATTTTCTCCAGATTTGGCATTTTATACAATTGAATAGTTTTGGATAAGAAAAACCTTTTTAAAATACAAATTAATTATATCGGAGTGAAAAGTTATTTTTCTCATAATTATTTGTGATATCACATGGTGACGCATTCAAAAACAAGAGTATCTCCTCCAAACACGCATCAGTGATCAAAAAAAGAAAAAATTTAATAGATATAGCTACAGATGTAGCTTTAAAATTATAAAATTTTCATTTCAGCAATCAACTTACCAAAACCGAAAACTTCAGCAAAAAAACATTTCAGCATGCTGCATTTAAATCTATTTTGGTAAATGTAAAGGAAAATTATGGTACAAACGAAAAATGTCATACGGTAACCATAGTCAGCACACACTAAAGTAAGCAAACTGGAGATTAATAGCAAATTAACGAAAAATAAACTCAACAAACGTTGTGCTTACTAAATTTACTCACTTTTTCGTTGTATACTAACATTAATAATAAAATTTGCAATAAATAACTCAAAAAGGCCATATTTTCTTTTGTTTATTTACAAACATGTGTTTCTGATCAGTTGATTTTCTTACTTGCAAGTTTTAGCTGGGAAAAATTTTTCCAGCGGAAATTTGCAGCTCTCTTTCACATTTTGCTCTCTCAATTTCCCCTACTTTGCAAGTTTTTTGGGTACGAGAACGCAAAACCAGTAAAAGTTTTCTAAAACTTTAGATAGTTGGGCGTNGAATATTAACGTCGTTGAAAGTACAAAACCGTGTATCGTCATTCTGCAAAACCGCGTAACTGACATTTGCTGCCAAAATGTGGATTTCCTCACACAAGCCCTTTGCTCAATTCTTATCCACTCGTCCTGAAATATTTTAGCCAGAAATGTGATTGCTTTATAAAAATGAGAACCATTTTAGAATATGAGTGTTTTTACTCTCTAGAAAATAATTTATGCAGCCTCGCATACGCGGATTTGTATTATCTTGATACGCGGGTTTTACTTTAAACGACGTTATGAGGTATTTACATGAGGAGAGTAATAGCGAAAATAGTTATAAAGAAAAATCGATTTGGACTCACCAAGGACGAATATTTTTAATGACTCTAAAATCCTCTCAAAGTTATCTTTCAATCTAAGGGGCTAATTGCAAACTTATTTTCGCAACCCAGTATTATGTAGACTTACATCTGTTTAATCCGCATTCAATTGAATTTACTTTTAAATATATGTACATATAATAGCTTATAAAGTGATGTAAATTGAAATATTTACTGCAGTAAAATTCGAAATATGGGCTGATTTATAAACAAAAATAGGTGATATACTTACATACATAGGTAAAATACATACTTAATACTTGAAATTGTCGTAAGCATAAAATAGTTCGAAATTTTTTTATGGTTTCTTCCGAAAATAATTGTCTCTTGCATTTTTTCGCAGGGAACAAAATGCACACTTTATTTTAGTTGACGAAAAAAGGCTTTGTGGCGAAAATAAATAGAATTCCACGGTTCTTTAGCAACGTGCAAAAAAAAATTAAAATATTTACATTTGTTTTAAGCAATATGAAACCAATAGATACAAGTAATTTTTAATCAAAACCAAAAAAAAACAACCGACTTCAATTCTCATTTTATAATTTAGGAGTACCGTTCAGATTAAATTTGTTAGAGAGCTCACATAACACCAGTCCCAGTGCTCTGATGAATCCAAGCATTTTCGAGGGAGGTAGAGAGTGCTATGCATAGCCTCTGGCCACATCCTTCCCAGTTGTGTTAGCCTTCTTCTCGCAACCGCCGCATCGCATTCTAAAGCTGAGATCACACGATTGCCGCAAATGCACCAATCTGGAACAATTTTTATTGTGCTGTATTGGAGCACAATAAAAAAATTGTCCCAATCAAATTCTGTACAGTCACACGGTTACCTCTTTTTATACAATTTTGATTGCCGCAAGTTGGTGAAAAGCAATATAGTGACAATAATTGCCCCAAACTTATCACACGATTGTTCTAGCATGCGGCAATCGTGACAATTAGATGTTGCGCTGACTTCTAAATTCTGTTTTGTTCTTTGTTGTGTAAAAATGGCGTATTCTTAAAAAAAGTAAATTGCATCTAATTTATATATTGTGGGCTCATTTTATGCATATTTGTTGTTTGAAAGCAAAGAAGTAAACACTTGAGTCCAATGAAAACTGACGCATTTATTTAGAAGTTTGAGTGTACAGTTTTTTTTTATTTCTCGACGATAACTACAACGTGATATATATGTGGAGTTCAAGTTACAAGAGTTTTTTTTTTTAATTTTAGTTTTCTTTTTAATTTTGGCTTTTTTATTAATTACAAGTAAAATTGGTACAAAATAATTATGTATGTTGAAATGAAAGCTGTGAATTTATATAATTTATGTTTGGAATGAAATTTCATAATTATATGTACAGCTCGCAACAAAAGATAACACCTGAACATTTTAATCAGTCTTGACTTTTTTCTTCTGTTTGTTTAATGTTAATTTTTTCTATAAATCCATAGCTCGTTGTTTAGTAAAAACCACATAAATAAAAATTTCAAACTTTAAACAACAATTAGAAACATTTCTTAAACTTTTGATAACAATTCAATGGTTTTTAATTTGGATTTCTAGAAAAAAAATTGTTATGCAGTTTACAAAGTAATTTGCATAGAAGAAAGTGCATATACCGCCAGCTAAAAAAATTATAAAAAATCGACAGGATTTTTTAGCAACTTCAAACTTGCACCTCATTGTACTAAATTTTAATGAGCTATAAAACCGAATAACAATTTTTTTTCTAGAAATCGAGATTAAAAACCGTGCAATTGTGTTAAAAAATTTAAGAAATTTTTAAAATTTTTGTATAAAGCTTGCAATTTATGCGGTTTTTGTTACACAATGAGCTATACTTCTATAGAAAAATAATGAACACTAAACAAATAGAAGAAAAATAGTCAAAACTGGTCAAAATGTTGAGGTTCTACCATTTCGTCGTGGGCTGTATTGAACTTTTAAGTTTTTTTTTTAATAAATTTATACTGTCATGCCAGTTCGCCAATTGGCGACATAAAATACCTTTCGTATTCTTCTCGTATGAGTTTTGCTTGTGGTGGTATATATCGCAGCAAAGAAGATTTGAATACAAATTAAATAAAATTAAAAGTTATGTTGCTTCCTAAAACAAGGATATTGATTTCAGTGATTTTTGGACACATAAGGAAGCAAAAAAGTAAATTATTAATAAACAGCCTAAATATTGTTGTGTATTGCTCACTTCAATTGCCGCACAAGAACACAATAAATATTGCCGCAATTTTGAAATTTTCATTGCCCCATGATTGCCAATCGAGCTATCACACGATTGCCGCAAGTGAGTTGTATTTGATTGGGCATTGTAAGCACAATATCGGCCTCTATTGCCGCATGAGTCAATTTATTGTGAAATCACACGATTGGGGCATAAATTGAGGAAATAATTGGTGTATTGCGGCAATCGTGGGATCTCAGCTTAAGAGATGCCGTGGGGTTTCTGGTGTTATATCACAGTGCCGATACAGGTCGTCTGCACTAATCCCCAGGGTATGCATGTGAGATCGCAATCTGCAGCATACCTGTTAAAAATTTCAGGTTAACCTTTTGAAGAGTTTTTAGTTCCCTAGATCTTTTGGGATTATAGCTTCCGTGAATTATAGCTACGCCAGCAGTGAGAGCGAAGTTGATTTCATTGAAGATGAATATTATATTCTGCTGTCATGTTTTGTCTGGTGGTCGAAAGACAAGATCATGCAATATTCTTTGGAAGAACCGAACTGTGTACGGCAAGCAGGTTCCTCACTTCGGATGACTCCAGGTAGTATATTTTACAGGGTTTACTTTTGATATAAACCATAAATTTTTTCTATTTGGGGGTGTTTCAGGTGCTGTTGTATTTGCGGTATTACGACTCTTTGACACTTTGACTGTTTTTTTTGCTCGAGCGCATTAAGCAAACTGTTGTGGAGCATCGGGAACACACGCCGAGAAGTGAGTCTGCCTTGACGCTGGTAAATCAAATTTGTGCCATTCCACCACCACCACAACAACTGTAGGAAGCACATAATCATCGCAGCTACGCATGGTGCATCATACTCCGTCGAGAAAGCGGGCAAGGTGCTACATATGCCGATGGTACTATCGATATTATCGAATGGTTCTATTTTTTGCACTATCCAATGGCCGTTGGCCACTATCGATAGTCTTTGTTTGAGGAAATATACATATTTAGGGTATTCAGAGTTTACTTTTAAAGTTAAGTTTAAAGTCACACATGTGTTTCAAATTGTCAATAAAACAAATATAGTCAGATACATATTTAAAAATCTTTCAAATTGCGCCCAGCCTATGTTTTTCTGCTTCACTTTCCATTTTTTTAGCGCGAATAATTAACTGATCAGAGATGCCAGTTTAACACAAAACAAAAAAATTAGACAAAGTGTTATCTCTAATTGGTAAGGGAACCAACAACAAACAAAGTTACCACATGGTAAAATGTTTTAAAGTTACCAGGTGACAAAATTAACACAGTAGATAATATAGAACTGTGAGCACCCTAATTGTTTATATTATATGTACTACTTATGCATTTTTTTTTTTGAAAATGGGAATTTGGCAACATCGAATTATAGCCGTACTATATTTGACAAGTTTTAACAATTAATATTTCTTTTTTGTTACTTTTTTATAAAACGGGTTTTTACGCGGGGTTTGTTAACTATATTTTTATAAAAAAGTAACCAAAATAAAAAAAATTTTATTAAATTAAATTTAATTTAATTTATATAAATAGTTACAATTTAAATTGCAATAACCTCTATCTGATCTTTAAACTAAAATAAAATGAACTAAAAGTAAAATCCTAGTTTTAATATATAGCGTGAATTTTTAAGACATGCGTGGGTACTTAAAATTATTAACACTTTTAAAAATAGCTGTCAAAACTGTTTTTTTCTCCTGAAAAATTAAGGTTTTGCAGATAGAGGGTATTGAATATAAGCCCTTTTGGAATAATTTTTTTTTGAAGTAAAAAACCACTGTTTAGTTTCTTCAAAAAATATGGTAGCTTCAATTTAAAAGACAACGTCAAAAGCACAGTTTACGTCAAATGGGAGCAATGGCGGTTAAGCAGAAGAAGTGAAACTACCTTTAGATATTTGTATCATGGTAAAACCGTTCTC